TAATTTCCTGCCCCAGTCCTACAATCAGCCATTTTTCCAAGGACCTCTGGTTTCTTTTTTTTTTTTTTTTTTTTGAGAATGGTATTAGACACCACAGTCTGGGTGCTAGGGGTTCTCATTACTATTGCTGTCATTGTACCCAAGCCCTCATTTGACAGAGCAAGGAAATATATGTGTGTATAATAACTCATAAATATACATATTTATAAATATTTCTATTTCATTTATATACATATTTATAAATAATCTGTATTTATATGTAACTAAATATGAATTCATGCTGATATCTAATTCATTACCTCGTGGATCATTCTAGCATTTTTCTGTTGCTTATCTGTAACTTCTAACTCCAACAGCGAGAAACCTGGCTTCCACCAGCCCCCATTCATTTGCTTAGGAGTTCAATTACAGTGTATCTGTATAGCAGCATCAGAATTATTAACCTATAACCTTGGGGAAAACAACTTTACCAACTAGAGTGCAGAGCTTGTATACGTTTTCTTTTGCCTTTAAGCTTACAGGCTCCAGTCATTTACAAAGTTACTCAGATCAGAAAGTTTTCCCCCAACCCAACTCAGAGAGATTGTTTCACACATTTGTAACAGTTAAATCATTTTTGTCACATTCTGTATTCCTTCCTGGAATCCCCTGACTTCCTAAATGATTTTTTAAAATTCTCATACATTGGTTCATTCTTTGTGCAGTAAAGTTCTATGGGGTTTGACGAGTGCATAGTGTCATGTATTTACTAGTATAGTATCATACAGAATAGTTTCATCACCCTAAAAAATCTTTTATACTTTACCTATTCAATCCCTTTTTTCCTCTTAATCCACTGGCAGTCACTGATATTTTCACCAACCCTATACTTTGGTCTTTTCCAAAATGTTACAAAATTGGAATCAGAGTACACATGTTCCCAGACTTACAATGATTTGACTTACAATTTTTTTTTAAAACTTTAAGATGTATGAAAGCAATAAGCATTCAGTAAAGGCCATACTTTTAGTACCCATACAACCATTCTGTTTTTTACTTTCAGTACAGTAGTCAATAAATTACATGAGATATTCAACAATTTATTATAAAATTGGCTTTGTGTTAGATACTTTTGCCCAACTATAGGCTAATATAAATGTTCTGAACACATTTAAGGTAGGCTAGGCTAAGCTACGATGTTTGGTAGGTTAAGTGTTTTAAATGCATTTTCAGTTCACAATATTTTCAATTTACAATTGTTATAACAGGATGTAACCCCATCATAAGTTGAGGATCATCTGTACATAGCCTTCTCAGACTGGCTTCGTTAACTTAGCAATATTCAATTAAAATGTATCCATGTCCTTCATAGCTTGATAGATCATTTCTTTTCATCATTGAGTAGCATCCCACTGTTTGGATGTACCATAGATTACATATCCATTCACCTATTGATGGGTATCTTTGTTACTTCTTGTCTCAGGCAATTATGAATAAATATGATTTTAACATTTGTGTGCAGGTTTCTGTGTGGGCAGAACTGTTCAAATTGGTTGAGTAAATATCTAAAGGCATGATTACTGAATGACATAGCAAGAGTATAATCACCTTTCTAAGAAACTACCAACTGTCTTCCAATACAACATTACCATTTTGCATTCCTGCCAGCAACAGGTGAGATTTCCTATTGCTCTATATCCTTGACAAAAATTGCTACTGTTAGGGTTTTTTTATTTTTATTTTTTTGATTTTGACCATTTAAAATGTATAGTTGCGTAATATTGTTGTTTTAATTTGCAATTCCCTAGTGAGATATGATGTTAAGCATATTTTCATATGCTTATTTACTACCTGTATATCTTTTTCTGTTCAGATTTTTTGGCCAATTTTTCTGGCCTTCTTTTATTTTTATTATTTTCTTTAATTTTACTTTAAGTTCTGGGATACACGAAAGAATGTGCAGGTTTGTTACATAGGTATACATGTGCCATGGTGGTTTGCCGCACCCATCAACCCATCATCTAGGTTTTAAGCCCAACATGCATTAAGTATTTGTCCCCTTGCCCCCCACCGTCCGATAGGCCCTGGTGTGTGATGTTCCCCTCCCTGTGTCCACGTGTTCTCATTGTTCAACTCCCACTTATGAGTGAGAACATGCAGTGTTTGATTTTCTGTTCCTGTGTTAGTTTGCTGAGAATGATGGTTTCCAGCTTCATCCATGTCCCTGCGAAGGACATGGACTCATTCCTTTTTATGGCTGCCTAGTATTCCATGGTGTATATGTGCCCCATTTTCTTTATCCAGTCTATCATTGGTAAGTATTTGGGTTGGTTCCAAGTCTTTGCTATTGTAAATAGCACTGCAATAAACATGTATCCATGTGTCTTTATAGTGGAATGATTTATAATCCTTTGGGTATATACCCAGTAATGGGAATCCTGGGTCAAATGGTATTTCTGGTACTAGGTCCTTGAGGAATCACCACACTGTCTTCCACAAGAGATGAACTAATTTACACTCCCACCAACAGTGTAAAAGCGTTCCTATTTCTCCACATCCTCTCCAGCACCTGTTGTTTCCTGACTTTTTAATGATCGTCATTCTAACTGGCGTGAGATGGTATCTCATTGTGGTTTTGATTTGCATTTATTTCTCTAATGTCTGCCCTTCTTTTAGAAGCTAAGACTTCTGGTATGATGTTCGATAGAACTGGTGAGAGAGGACATCCTTGCTCTGTTCTTGATCTTAGGAGGAAAGCGTCCAGTTTTCATTGTTAAGTACAGTGTTAGTTGTGGGTATTTTTATAGTTGCTCTTTATCAAATAGAGGAAGTTCTCCTATATTTCTACCTGTCTGAGGGTTTTTATCATGAAGGGATGTTGAATGTTTTTAGTGCCTTTTCTGCGTCGTTTGATATGATCATGATTTTTTTTCTTTAGTTTCACGTTGTGGTGGCTTACATTTGTCAATTTTTAAATGTTGAACCAATCTTGCATACCATAAATTAATCCCACCTGGTCATGGTGCATAATTTTTAATACAATTATGTATTTAATTTGCTATTTTTTTGAGAATTTTCTCAAGTCGGTCTATACTTTCCAACTCTCTGTTGAGATTTCCTCTCTATCCATTCATAGTTATCTTTTTTTTCAGTCCCTGAGAATATTTATAGTAGCTGTTTTAAATTCCCTGTCTACCAATTCCAACATGTGGATTATTGCAAGGCCTTTTTATATTGAATTTCTGAGGCTTTGTCCACAGTTTTATTTCTATGAGGAAAAATATATGGGCCAGAAAACAGCATGATGCCAGTTTCCAAAACTGGGTAGTCCATCCAAAACCCGGAATTTTCCACTGGTAAAATTGCAATTATTTTAAAAGTTTATAGATTGAGTGAGAAAGAGAAGTGACGTGATGATAGATGAGAGATAAACAATAAGTTTTAAATAAAAACAGAATTTCAAAATTTTCTTTTTTTCACTGAATATATTTTAGGATGCTTTCATGTCAATAATTTCACAATGACACTATCATCACTTCCTATGGATGTTTTTCAGCATATGGATGTATCTTGTTTGATTTAAGTAATTTTGGTTATTTCTACCTTTTCACTTTCATTACCAACACTGCTGTGAAACTTCTTCACGTGTTTTTTTTTTTTTTTAAACTTTGCCTCATTCTTTCCCCAAAATTAAGTTTGTAGTAAGAATTTTGGATCCAAATATATGCCAGTTCTTACAAATACTGCTATTTTCTTATTTGCTTTCAGAAAACCACTTATATTCCTATCAACAGTGTACATTTTCATCTTTGGCAATATCATAATCAGAAGTTAAAATTTTTTTGTTGACTTAACTTGCATTTCCAAAATTAAAAATAAGATTGGATATTATCATATGCACTAACAATGTATATTTCTTCTGTCAATTACTTGTTAACATCTTTGTTTAGTTTTTAGTTGGAGAGTTAATCTTGTTTTAATTTATATGAACGTGCTATTGGTATACTAAGGAGGTCAACCATTTATCTGCCTTATTTATTAAAAATATTTTTTCCATGAAGTCATTTATCTTCTTTTTTTGATGGTTTTGACTCACTAAGTATTTATTTTTGTATGCAGTCAAATCTGTTGATCTTGTCCTGTTTTGTGATTGCTGTCATAGTTAGAAAACCTTGTTTACCATTAAATTACATAAATATTTATAAATATTGCTAATATAAGAGTGGACACAGAATGAGAGAGCACTTTGGAATTATACAGATATTGGATCAGATTCCAGCTTTGCCATTAACTAGCTGTAACATATTGTATTTTTCAGAGATGGCTTCAACAATAGCTCCCATACCACAATATCTTCTACAATTTTACTACTCTCTAATCAAAAGATTAGATTTAGAATCTGGCCAGGCTTGTAACTCACTTGTAATCAATAGAACATGGCAGAAGTGATGAAGCATGACTTCCAAGGTTAGGCCCTAAAATGAGACGCAATTCCTATCTTGTCAGCTATACATTTACCTTTAGAGCTTTAAGCTACCATGTAAGAAGTTTGGGACCCCTATGTGGTGAAGGGGCCTGGGCTGCATGCAGAGTCTCCATGTAGGTGTTCTGACAAGAGCCCCAGGTGACATCACAACTTATACTACCATCAACTCCAAAGACATGTGAGTGGAGACACCTCCAAATGATTTCAGTTTCTAGCTCTTTCATCACTTTCAGTCTTGGAGTCTTCCCAGTTGAGGCCTTAGACATCACAGCACACAGACAAACCTACTGTATACTTTCTTAATTCCTGATCCATGGCACTAGTGAACACAATAATTTGTTATGTAGCAATAGTAACTAGAAAGCTTAATTGTGTGACATTTGACAAGTTACTTAACCAGCCTGTTCTTCAAGTTTCTCATCTATTGAACTGTCTTGTAATAATAGCTACTTTCTGGGAAGTTAAGGTTACATGAGATCATATATTAAAAATGCTTGACGTGTGCCTAGCACATAACTACAAGTTCAAATAATGATAGCCACAACAAAAAGCAAGCTTTTCTTTATTACATTTACATGCGTAACACACGTGAAATTTATTTTGGTTGAATAGGTAAGGTTGTGTGAGTTATTTACCAGTCAATTACAAAGTAACAGATCGTTAGCCAAAGTATTGTCCTTTAAAAAGATATGTGAAGAAACAATTCTCTGTATAATTATGTATATATATGAAAGAAGAACATGTGCATATCAGAGGATAAATTCTTGGTGTTTTATCATGTGGGTAAAGAAATTTTCACCTAACTTTTGCTACGTTTGTTTGATCAGGTTAGAAAATGGAACTGGGAAGAATATCTGAAGATAGGGTAAGGCACAGAAAATATTCTCCAAGGTTAGAGAAATGTTATCTAGTCGGTAAGGAAGCCTAAGAAGAAAGATTATCCTGACTCAGGAAGAGTTAGTTTAGACACTACACACACTATTACTTGGAAGTGCCAAAATGTAACTTCGTTTTCTAACCTGAATTCATTTTGTTTTAGAGCTCTGTTCACAGTGAGACAAAACACTTGGTCTTGTCAGCTTAAAACTTAGAGAATAAGGGAATGAAGGGAAGTTAGGGGGGAATTACTAACAAAAACATGGTCTCAGCTGAAGACTAGCTTTAGTTGGATCCCGTGGAAAAGCTCTGGGGTACAAACTGCACCACAGACTTAGTTCTACCTTAATACAAGGGGCCAGCCATTCATTGGCTGAGGCCCATATGCAGGTGGTGAGTTTAGCATCTGGGCAAGGCTGCTTCTATTAATATTTAGTAGAGAGAAATCTCCAAAGAAGTCAGTAACTGTGAGTTGTCATAAGTCAACACATGATGCAACTGGGTGCACTTATCAGCAAAGGGGATTTTGGAAGCCACCAAATTCAAATCCAAATCATCCACTACATAAAGACAAATTCAACGCTATAATGCTGAGAATGCCAAAGTGTGCTCTTGAAACATAAAGATTTCATAATTAAAACTCTCTGCGTGCTCCACAAAACCAAACTTTGGCTTTGTTTAACATTGATTCAAAAATATTTTTAAAGTCTATTTTGAAAACCAAAGCTAAACAATATTTTCTTTTCTTTTTCTAGACTGACTTCTACCATCCCCATGATTCAATGGGGAGAGAGCTCTTACAAAACCAGAGCCCATAACTCAAACTTAAAATATTCATGTTACGTTAGCTTTTCTAGTTTGCTTGTCTACCGTGAAACAGCTATCTTCATGTATCTTTCATCCTGACTCTTCAAAATCCAAATTGAGAATTCCTCAGAAAGCATTATATTCTCAGACATAGACAAAGATAGGGTATACCAGACTACTCAGATAGAAGGTTGGTTGGTTCATTGTAAGAATTTTATGTGGCATAATATAAGAGAAAGAAGCTCATGGAAGACCAGGACCAAGAACTGCAGTCAGCCTCATAAGGACAGAAACACCAGGGTTAGTGTGTATCCAAGGAAAACGTGCCACGTTGGCCACAGGTGTGCTCCAACATCAATGCTACTTAGTTTCTCTTCCTATCTGTTTCTCTCTGTGTCTGCCTGCTTCTCTTTCCACCACTGTTACCCCTATATGCTGCCTTTCTCACACTTTCTGCATACTCATAACTTCCTCTTACACAGGGCACTCTGTTACTTGAATGCTACCTCATGGTATCTATTTACATCCTATTATCTTCAACTACCATGCCACCTGCCACATTATCAGCATTTTGTTTTCTCAGTCCCATGAGAAGAACCTGACTAGCCATCCTTAAAAAAACACTCTGTTCCCAATCTAATCACCTAGTTCAACCATGTGCCCAAGGCTGCCTGGCCGGCCAGGGCAATGATAATTCAAGCCAATTCTACCCACAGCAAGTTATCTCTCAGATCTTAGTTTTTACCAATTGAAATGTCCCCTGAAATTTTCTCTAATGCCTTATCCCTGTCTGTTCAGGTTTTTTTTCTGCCCTGAGGTTCCCCCAAGAGCTCTATCAGAGAAAGACTTGGCCCATGCCGCCCACACACTGGGAAGCTGGGGTTAGCCCTCTCCAGAACCCATGGGCAAAAAAAGACAGTGCCAGAAAGTGTCGGGGCTAATCCAAAGAGAATTCCAACTGAGAGAAGAGTGTAGATGAGGATACAGGATACTCACAGAAATCTCAGTACAAATTGGAGATTATTATGGCCCAAGTGTTCACATTTTCATACAGGAGATAACAAATGACTAAGTCTGAGCTTATTCATGGCAGTATCACGTAAGGAGAGCAAAACCCCTCCCACCTGTGAGTGACAGGGATGTGCAAAGGGTGAGTCTAGGGCTCCATCATCACTAGGCTCTGCTGCCCGCACTGCGTCTCCTTATGCCTGCTTGTCTTTTCACTATGAGCTGGCTTTCTCACTCTGTACCATTGCATAGAAGAAGAGAGCAAAATTCAGGTTCAGGGAAGAGGAAAAAAAGGGTAGTGGTTGAAAAAGAACCCCAAATCCAGGAGATACACAGAGCTAAACTCCCTCAGGGAGGTTGCAGTAGTTACTATGATTACAACAGATGAGCTCTGCCCTCTTCGAGAACCCCAAGAAGTTGATGTCCTCACAGTTGGTCATACACGACAGTTTTGAATAATGATACAGGCTCTGCCCTGAGGAGGTAAAAAAGAGGAAATATGATCATAATGACCTCATTTCCTTTCACTGCATTCTTAGGAGTAATCTGTTTTTGTGCCCTCACTAACCTTTCTCTAGGCCCAAATGAGTTCCAAAGCTGAGTCTGTTCATTGCTGACCCAGAGAGTAGATTTTATTCCCTGCCAGGTAAGGGACATCAGCCTCTTTTTCACCCAATATGGTCTTAAGGAAAAGTCTGTCTTTGCCATCCCCTCATGACCACCCCATACTCACCCATCCCATTCACCCACTCACTCTGAGGGCAAAAGAACACCACTGTTTCTCAGGGATGGTGGTGGTGATTTTCCAGTCACTCTATACTCCACATTACCTGTAACTGTAAGGACGTAAAAGTTCTCAACTGCACAGGACTGTTTAGGCTTCAGGGAGCAGGATGTCATGACATCATAGCATAACCCGAGATGATATTTTTTACATTTATAACACATTATTTCAGTCGCTGTCAGATACAAAAAGAGGTGCTTAGAGGATGCAGTCTTGAGAACATTCTCTGGGGCTGGGGGCTTCACTACAGGAACTTACTCTTGCCTAGTGGTTCCTAACATTTTTTGGACCATGGACTCCTGGTAATCTTGAGAAAGATAGGGATCATCATGCTGTGGTCCTCCCCATGTACACATTAATACATTTGTACACATTTTCTCCAATTAAAAAAATCTTGTGAAAGATAACCTGTGCAAACATAAATCAAATACTGTATACGACTTCGGGAGGTCAGGGTTCTCATGAAATTTATCCATGGACCTCCAGTAATGAACCCCTTATCTAGCCTGATAATTTTGCCGAGTAATAGGTAAAAGAAAGTAAAGTGGATCTTAGCCTCCTTACTCTAAGAAATGGACAAAACAGGTCTGGCAGGAGGCAAAACCCCTAGGATTCTATAATAAGAATGGATTACAGGGCTCTCTGAAGATGAAGGGAAGGTTCATCTGAAGACCAAGGACTTCAGACAAGCCATGATTGTACCTTCTACACGGTCATGAAGTTCACCTGTGAAAAGAAGAAAAACCTTCCTTGTTATAATCTCACATACATTTGCCACTGCCCCAAGAGCCAATTTTGAAAACTGCCTCTTCCCCCAGCATCTGTCCATCTCTTAACCAACCACCAGCTTCCCCTCTGTCTCCAGGACTTACCCCAATATGGGCAGAGCAGAAAGATTGTGCTCAGCAGAAAGAGAACAAGCATCCTGGAGCTTCTGTCGGGTGCAGCTTCCTCTGGAAGGAGCGAGTTGTTCTTTCGTGATCTGAGCTAGTCATCTAAATTATATAGTCATAAAATTTCAGGGACAGATAGTATGACAATGTTCCCAGAGCCAAACCACCATATCTGATTGCTACACAGCATTCTAAAGAGGGTACTCACTTTGATTTTGTGCAAATCCTCTAATGAAAATGAAATTGTAATGTTCCTGATTCACCAGACCTGCTCCTACTTCAATATTGCAGAGTTTTAAGAAGTATTTTCAACTTCTCATTTTAGATTCAGGGGGTACCTGTGCAGGATTGTTACAGTGGTATACGGCTTGATGCTGAGGTTTGGGGTACGAATGATCCCATCACCTGGGTAGTGAACATAGCACCCAACAGTTAGTTATTCAGTCTTGCCCAGTCCCTCCTCACAATGTTGCAGATTTTAGTACATCTGGGAGGTATTCTTTACAGCTTCTTGTGTTTCATCCTCATTGAGCAATTTAACAGCAAGTCTTATCCATTTTACCTACTAACTTCTCACATGGGTTTATTACTCTCTGTCGCCACTGCCATTACCATAATCCAATCTATCATCCTGTCTTGCCTGGACAAAGCAATGGCCTTATTTTTAGCCTCCATGCTTCTCCCCTGCCCCTTCACAATCATTTCTTCATAAAGCAGTCAGAGAATAAGTCATAGATGCCACACCCCTGCTGAAAACCCTCTGATGACTTTTTATTACCTTTGAAAGAAAATCCAGAGTTTTTATCATAGCCATCAACGGCTTCCTCATTATGAACAATGGCCTCCTCTCCAATCCCCTTTCTCTCCACTTTTCCCTTGCTCACTCAGGTCTTTGCTCAAATGTCACCCCCTCAGACAGAGCAGCATTTTCTGCTCAATCTCTAGAAAATGACAGCCTTCATTTCCTACCCTTTCCCCTGTTTTATGTTTCATAGCAATTCTCATTAGCTGATCTTACATTCCTATTGGCTCACTTTTTTACTCCTCCACTAGAACAAAGCAAGGGGTTTCTTTGATTTATCATGGCACACTTGGCATCTAGAGGCTGGGAACAAAGGAAATGCCTAACAAATATTTGTGAGAGGAATCAATAATGTTCTTCCCATATCCTGCCTTGCATCCCTCCAGTCCATTCTCCACAGAGCATCCAACTTTATTAGATTGGTTTTTTGAACTATAATAAAGATGAGAAATGAGACTTTCTACATTCCAGCAAGGGTTCCAAGATAGTAGGCAGCGAGTGTTTCACATTTCACAGGAAAATGCTATGCTACTTAGGCAGATTTACAAAGAAAATCAGTGAAACTGTGTTTAATATCCTGGACTTGCTGTCCACCTGGAGGGTATAAATAAACAGTGAAGTGCCAGAAAATAAAATGGAAGGAGTTTCTATAGTCTAGGGTGAGAGTTACTTTTCTATATATGGCTCAAAACATAGAACCATTAAAAAAATGATTACTTATATTTTTAAAAAGTCTTCTACATAAATGGAAAACCAATCATTAATCCATAAGAAAAGCCCAAATAACAAATAAACCATTAAAAATATTTGCAACTCGTATCTCAGACTAAGGGCTAATCTCCCTATTATACAGATATTCCAGAAAGTGATTTTTAAAGGACTAACAATTCAAAGGGGAGAGAGGCAGTCAATAATAACATCATAGTTCACAGAACAAAAAAACCAAAAATGCTTCTTAAACACATGAAATATGGTGAACCTTACTCCTAATTTTAGTCATGTACATTAAAACTAAATTCAGATATTAGTTTTACTTAACAGATTGACAATCAGAATTTGATAACACAACTGTGTTGGCAAGATTGGAGTAAAACAAGCACTGTCATACACTGCTGATAGGTCTGTAACTTCATATATCAGTACAGAATAAAATTAGACAATAGCTCTCAAAATTATAAAAAAATTGTCATCTTAGCCAGTAACTGCATAAGAATTTTCTTGCACATTTGGCCTTGTTTCTAGGATTCTTCAGGGAAAAAAGTAGATAGATGAATAGATGACAAATACCTTGTGAGTTCCTGTTGATATTTTCAATTGAAATTTAAGACTGCAAAGTTTTAACTTTATATTACAACTGTACCTCTTTTGTTTTACACTGAGAATTCTACTTCTCAAGGACACAGAATTAGAACAGAATTAGAATGATATATATGGTATATAAGATGTAAGACAGAATATTACATGTATATGAATTATAATATGGAATATACAGGATAGAATGAAATTAGAATTCAATAGAATTAGAATGTCCTATAATCAATCATTTGCTTTATCCCACATTAAACACCTACAAGCCTCAGCATAATAATACCGTCACTAATGGTGGTTACTAAAATAGTTGTAAAATTTTGTCTATGCTCTTTATTTTCTCAACCACTACCACCTGCATTTTTTTATGGTTATACAATATCTAATTATCCAACTCTATGGTCACTACATACTACACTCTCTGCCTTTTAATCTTTACTTAGTCTTTGTTCTACTAGTAAGTTTATATTTAAACTTGACCATCAGCCCATATGTTGAGGTCTCGCTAGTCATTTTGTCTATCTGAAGTACTTTTTCTTGATTCATTGTTCAGAAAGAAATTATAAAAAATAATAATTCTGAAATTCTGGTATGTCAAAAAACTTTATGTTCTTTACACTTGAAAGTAATTTTCTGTCCCTTATAAGTTGTACGATCTTTTGACTTAAAAGCTCAAAGGATTTTTTTTTTTTTAAGTTCACTAACTTTACAAGACCATGTGTTTGTTTTGATCACTCTAAGTCAGTATTCTCAGGTACACAGTGTGCTGTTTCAATGGGAAGTTTCTGTTCTTCAGAAAAGTTTTATTATGGTTATTAATTTTTAATACTTGTCTGTTCTTTTTCTTTTCTTTCAAGAGCTTCTATCATTTGTATAGTGAATCTTTTTTATTTTAAAAAACTCACTTTTTATGTCTTTAAATTTCATTATTCATTTATTTTAGATTTTAAATTTTTCTTCTTTTTCACTTTCTCTTTCTCTTAATTTAATATTTCATTATTTGCTCTCATGCTTCTTATATTTTGTATGGGAGAGCAGTGCACCATGGGCCCAGAGCATCACTGCACGTTCTTGCTGGGGATGCCAAAAATGTGAGGCTCTGGCTGCTTTTCACCCAGGCCATATCTCAGGGTTATGTTTGCAGTGAGGAACCTTGAAGAATGCGGTAACAAAGAGTAGGGTTGATTCCACTTAGTATACAACTGGTAGATTCCTCTAGTACAGTGTTCCTAAGCTTCACCACAAACCCACAGTATGACAGCATTGACCTGGGCCTCATATATTTCCCAGCATGAGACTCAGGGAACCAGAGGAGTACTGCAAATCAACATGAAGCGCTGGCTTCTGCTTTTGCTGTGAGTGCTAAAATCCTTTGTTTTTGGTTGTTGTTGTTAGTTTGTTTTGGTTTTGTTTGTATGTTTGTTTGTTTTTGAGACAGAGCCTTGTTCTGTCACCCAGGCTGGAAAGCAGTGGTGCAACCTCTCACTGCAACCTCCACCTCCCAGGCTTAAGCGATCCTCCTGCCTCAGCCTCCCAAGCAGCTGGGATTAAAGGCATGCACCACCACGCCCAGCTAATTTTTTGTATTTTTAGTAGAGATGGGGTTTTGCCATGTTGGCCTGGCCTCAAGTGATCCGCTTACCTCAGCCTCCCAATATGCTGGGATTATAAGCAGAGCCATTGCACCTGGCCTTTTTGTTTTTAACCCAGGGGTTTTGTTTCTTCCACCAGCATCCATCAAACAATAACAGGCTAGCTTGGTAGCTTGCAAGTAGGATAAAATCCAGACCCTTAATAGTCCTTAACAGTTTGAGAGATGAAGATGAGATAATGACAGACACCATCTCTCTGGAAGGTAAAGGACAAGGGCTCCCACACGACAGGACTAAGAGATAATAGAAGACATCCTGGAATCCAGTAGCAAGTGCTTGCACCCAAACTTGTGGGAGGTAAGGGAACCCCAGCGTGTTATCTGCTTGTATTAGTTCTCTATTGTTGCATAGAAAATTACTATAAGTGTAGTGGCTTAAAGCAACACATATTTTATTATTTCACAGTTTCTATAATTCAGAAGTTTGGACACAGTATAACTAGATTTTCTGCTCAGGGTCTCACCAGGCCGAAATCCAAGTATCATCCAAGGATATGGTTCTTATCTGGAGTCCAGGACCTAACAACACATTCCAACAACCCTGAATCACTGAATCCTGCCAACTGCTATGTGACTGAGATTGGAAGCAGATTCCTTCCCAGTTGAGCCATGAAAGAACTATGTCCTAACCAACAACTTGATTACAATCTGGGAGAGACACTGAACCAAAGGACCCAGCTAAAACACACTCAGATTCTGACCAACAGAAAATAATAAATTTTACTTTTTCAAGTCATTAAGATTTGAGAAATTGGTTACACAGCAATACATAACTGTATTAGCAGAAAGCACCAAGAATTACAGGACAAACTATGGCAGCTCATGTGGAGACAAAAAGAAAGAGCCTCAGATGCTGGGAGGCCTGTGTGGGTGAGGCAAAGTGCCACAGGCGACAAAAAGCCTTCCACTTCTCCAGTTATCCCTCCAAGGCAGCTTTCTCCTCCTCCCTGCGTATTCTACACCCCTGAGAATAACAAACTCCTTGTAGCTATTGTAACCCCAGAAGTCTGCATTAAACAATTTGCTCTTCTTCCTGTAGGGAAAAAAATTCAAAGGATAGAGTCTAGGCAAAACTTGCAGTGGAATCCAAACAACAGCTACAGGAACCCCTACAGCTGCGTTGGAAGCTGTAGGGCCAGCTGTGTCTCACTTTTTACCTGGAGGGCCCCATAATCCTAATGACCTCTTCTAGCTGCACACGTCTGTGACCGCTGATTTTGTCACCCAGAGACTCTAGGAACCAATAGACAACCTCCACCCAGAGACATTCATTGGTGTCACCTCCCTGACAAAGCTACATGCCTTTTGAAAAGTATCTATTGACATGCTATTAAGCTTTCATGAAAATGGAATGCCTAGGAAGAATCAATATCATTAAAATGACCATTTTCCCAAAGCAGCACAATTCCTATCACATTACCAATGCCATCTTTCACAGAATTAGAAAAAGCAATCTTAAATTTATACGGAACCAAAAAAGGGCTCAGATAGCCAAAGCAACCCTAAGCAAAAAGAACAAAACCAGAGGCATCACATTACCTGACTTCAAACTATACTACAAAGCTATAGTAACCAAAATAGCATGGTACTGATATAAAAATAGACACATAGGTCAATGGAACAGAATAGAGAACCCGGAAGTAAAGCCACAGACCTATAACCAATGGATCTTTGAAGAAGTCACCAAAAATATGCACTAGGGAAAGGACACTCTATTCAATAAATAGTTCTGGGAAAATTGGCTAGCCAGATGCAGAAGAATCAAACTGGACCTCTACCTCTCATCATACATGAAAAGTAACACAAGATGGATTAAAGACTTAAACGTAAGACCTGAAACTATAAAATCCTAGAAGAAAACCTAGGAAAAACCCTTCTGGACATTTGTCTAGGCAAGAAATTTATGACCAAGTCTTCAAAAATAAATGCAATGAAAACAGAAATAAACAAATGGGACTTATTAAACTAAAAAGCTTCTGAACAGCAAAAGCAACAATCAAGAGAGTAAACAGACAACCTATAGAATGAAAAAAAAATTTCCAACAAAGGGCTAATATCCAGTATCTATAAGGAACTCAAGCAACTCAACAAGAGAAAAACAACCCCATTAAAAAGTGGACAAAGGACATGAACAGACACTATTCAAAAGAAGACATACAATTGATCAACAAACATGAAAAACTGCTCAACATTGATAATCATCAGAGAAATGCAATTTAAGACCACAATGAGATACCATCTTACACCAGTGAGAATGACTACTATTAAAAAGTCAGAGAAGAAGTAGGGATAGCCAACGGGTACAAAAATATGTTTAGGTAGAATAAATAAGATCTAGTCTTTGATGGCACAACAGGTTGACAATAATTTACTGTATATTTTAAAATAACTGAAAGAGTGTAATTGGGTTATTTGTAACACAAAGAAAGGATAAATGCTTGAAGTAGCGGATACCTCATTTACCCTGATGTGATTATTATGCATTGTATGCCTGTATAAAAACATCTCATATGCTCCACAAATATATACACCTGTGATGTACCCACAAAAAAATAAAAACTTTTTATTGAAAAGTTGAGAAACAACAGATGTTGGCAAGAATTTGGAGAAAAGGAAATGCTTATACACTGTTGGTTGGGAATGTAAATTAGTACAGCCCTTGTGGAAAACAGTATGGAGATTTCTCAAAAAACTAAAAATAGAACTACCATATGATCCAGCAATCCCACTACTGGATACATACTCTAAGGGAAAGAAATTATTACATCAAAAAGACACCTGCACTTATATGTTTATCACAGCACCATTCACAATACCAAGGATATGGAATCAACCTAAGTGTCCACTAACAGATAATTGGATAAAGAAAATGTGGTACATACATACCGTGGAATACTACTCAGCCATAAAAAATAATGAAATTTTGTTAATTGCAGCAACATGGATGGAACTCGATCCCATTATCCTAAGTGAAATAACTTAGAAACAAAGTTAAATACCACATGTTCTCACTTCTAAGTTCACTATTTGGGTGATGGGTTCACTAAAAGCCCAGACTCCACCTCTACACAATATATGCATGTAAGAAATCTGTACCTGTACCCCTTAAACCTATAAAAATAAATTTTTTTAAGAGAGGAAAACAAAAAATAAAATTGAATGCCTGACCCAAGAAAGCCTTGTAACATTCTGGACTGCTATTTCCTTTTTGGGGTGGGAAAACTCAGACTCAATAACCAACCAGGTGGCCAGGGCCCAAAACCCTCAACAAGCAAAGGAAATTGTACATTCAGGAATGCAGGTGGCCTGGCCTGAATAACATCTCAGCTTTGATGTAAAGGTAGCAGCCATTCCCCTCCTCTACCACCCGAAGTGAACCTACTGGCTCAATGGATCCCTTAATTTACAGAGCTTTCTGTAATTGCACGGGCCTGAGTCACTGAGAATGTAAATTAGTACAACCTTTGTGGAAATCAGTATGGAGATTTTCCAAGCTGAAACCCAGTGGTATCCATCCCAGCTATGCAAAACTCAACGTATATGTGGTTTCTCTGCTCAGTGGGCAAAACTCAAGGGTCTGTTCATAACTCTGGCCAATACTTTTCTTAAAGATCCTTGTTGAATTTTTACTTAACATTGGCTGTTGACAATATCCAAGCAACCTTGTCTGCTACTTGGAAGACTAGAGACTAGCAGATTAAAGATACCCTTTTGTGAGGATGCAAAACAAATTAGACCATTTGCTTCACTCATGTAAATGCCCATGTAAGGGCTCATTCCCTGGTGAGACCAACTGGAGTCCAGTTGCTGATAAAATTGTCACCATTGTCACCTAAATCATTGCACTGGACATGACAATGTATCCACCATTATGGACTAAACACAAAGTGAAGAACTATATTTCTGATGTAGAAGCTACCATTGCGTGCCAGACTTCTTAACTCCTGCCAAAAAATGTCCCAACCTATTTGTCTCACAGCAGAGGAAGCCACTTTACATGGGGCATTGGCCCTGCCTACTTGTGACAGGTTAGTTGCATCAGACCTTGGCCTCACTCTCAGGGCTATCTCTTGGATTCCTCCACTGTTCACTGGTAGATAGAAACTAAATAAAGACTCAAAGGAGCATGCCAATTCATAAGTATAGAATTAGCTGATTTTATTATTGAGCAAAGCAAATACCCCAAATGCCTGCCAGTAGCCAGCAATTGGCTAAAGCCAATTTTCAGCTTTGTTTATCTGATTAAA